AGCCTTTGTCAGTCTTTCAGTTTTTTATTTTGTCCTCCACTAGGAATTTCCTTCTTATCATATTTGAGTTTTGGTATAATCAATAATTTTGAAAAACACAAAAATAATCTAGAATCAAGGCATTATGAAAAGGATTAAGTATTTAAAATTGTCATTATATTGTGCTACATATAATAAAATGTATATTACATACATTGAACTTTCATAAAGACATATACTTTGATATTAGAACACAGGTTTCTTCATTGACCTGCTTTCTAGGTGGCGATTCTGTGTGTTCTTTTGTCCAGAACTGCCCCCACTTCGTCAAGACAAGATCCATCATACACACTAAAATGTAATCCAATACTTGGGAATCTGTAAAATTGCACAAAGATACAATTACTGTTTGTAGGACTATTGGTAACTCTTGTCCTCAGATATGGTTCCCAAAATTTCTATTTTACCCAATTAACTCCAAAATGTATACTTTGTTTGTAATTGTATATAAACTGTAGGAGATACGTTTCATTTTGACTGAGGAATAAGGAGAATCAAATCTTCCAGTTATAATTTTATATGCATGATATTTGGAACATTTTTTCAGAATCACTCAGGCTCCTTATATTTCAAATCTTATTTCTCCTCCACTTCCCATATACTTCTGAAGTCAAGTACCACAGGACATATTCAAACTGAGTTATGACCTTTTTCCCCTGAACCTTTAGGTCACCCACTAAGAGTTATTGCACAGTGGATGGTAGGAGTATTCCCGAAGCCTTTCACACACCACAACTAGATACAACTTAACTATATGCAGAAATGACTGCAAACCACATATACATTCTACTAACCCAATTAAATGTGTCCCCAGCCCATCTTCCCCAAGACCTGTTCCAAATATGTCTATGGCTGCTCCAACACTATATGACACAGGAGCATGGCAGAAGGGAAGTTGAAGTACAAAGATATGGGTCTTAATTAATTGCAATAATGTATCTTTCTTTTGCAAACCTTACAAAAACCATGTCCAAGTGTATATATTTTCAGTATCCTTTCCTGGGTCTGGAAGCGCAAATGGAAGGTGCTGGCACTGAAACTTCATTAGCTTAAATTAGTGTAAGTCGGTCTCTGTTCTGATCTCTTAAATCATAAACATATTGACTGATCAAAACATAATGGGTGAAGGGAGAGAAAGCCTGAATTGGCAGGACTTCCATCTCTAAGATTCCAAATACGTTCAAGCAACAATCAACTTTTTGGTGTGTCAAAGTGCCCTCATCTCCCTGGCACTTGGAAAGCAAACATTCACCTTCATCCAAATCCCAGAGAGCTACCCACTTCTGTTACAGCTTATTGCTAATGATGAGAAACATCTAATTTCTAAGGCCACCCTAGATGGAATGGGATTGCAAAGATCTGTGTTCAGGTGGGCATGTTCTAATGATCATTTCCAGTGAACAAAATAACCTTGCAAAGTGGAATGAGCTGACAACTGGGAAAATTTCATGAATGAGACGATGTTGATGCTTCTTGAATTGTTGGGGTCACTTTGTGCTAGTACCATTTACAAAAACAAAAGCAAACAAAAATAAAAACAAAAAGCCCCACCATCGTAATTTCTCATCATTTGTTCCTTATCCACTGTTCTCTACTTAAGGATCTAAAACCTATATGTTGATGTTTAGGGACAAACTTTATGTTCAGAGCACTAGAACAAATCTTCTAACCTAGTGGCCTATACCCAAAAACATGATCTATAGACCTTAATCCCCTGGGAGTCTCCTGGCAAAAAGGACTTGATAGTCCAGTAAGTTTGGAAAAGGCTCATGCAATATCCCTCTTGGGGATTCACAGTGTACCCTACCGAATTAAAGACTCTACAAAACCTTGCAGTAAAGAAAGCTGCTCGCCCTTGTGGAATGAATTGGAGTTTCGGAGATTAGACACAGAAATGGGCACATTTTCTTGGCCTCTTTATTTTCAGTGTTGTCAAACTTTCTAGGTCCTATTTCTCAGAAGTATAATTTCTATTACTTGTCCTCTTTCTCAATGTGCCCCAGCCACTACAGGTCTCATTACATATCTTTGATCATGCCAGAAACATTTCCATTTCAGAAATTTAGTACATCCTATTCCCCCTGCCTACAACTCTGTTCTTTCAGCTATGAACATGACTCCTTCTTTCACTTCACTCAAGACCCTGTTCAAAAGTCAGCTTTTCAGAGAAAATTCTGAATTGTGTCCCTTCCCAGAATTCAGATGTCGAAGCTCTAATCCCCAATGTGACTAGGGCCTTTAAGGAAGTAGTTAAGGTATAATTAGCCCTAAGTGTAGGATTCTAACCCAATACGAATGGTACACTTCTAAGAAGAGGGAGACACCAGGAATGTCTCTGAACAGGCAAGAGGCCTGTTCAGAGGCAAGAAGGTGGCCACCCTACAAGCCGAGGAGAAAGGTCTCAACAGAAACCAACTCTGCCAACACCTTTATCTCTGATTTCTAGCCTCCAAACTCTTGTCTCTAGGAGGCTGAGAAGCTGAAGAGTAGAGTACAGTTGATGAATGTTTGGGCTCTGTGTTCAAACCCTAGCTCTGCTAACTTCTAATGGTGTAATCCTTGATGAGTCATTAAAACTCCAGGAGCTTTTCTGTCTGTAGAATAGTGATGAGAAAAACAGCCCTTACTCCAAAGGCATTGATATAAGACTGTAATGACACACAACACAAGCAATGATTAGAATACTGCCCAGAAAAATACATGCATTTGATAACTGGTACCCACTATCGCTTAGTGTCTGTTTTCTCCTCTGGAATGTAATAAGTTCTGTAAGGACAGGGAATTGGTCTTAACCAGAGATATGTTCATAGTCACCAAATCAGTGCCTCCAGGGCACATGTTAAGATCTTAATAAATATTCATGCCTGCAAATATGAAGAAATAAAAGCTGGTGGACATTCTTACAAAGTTCACACAGAATGTAGATCCTGCATTGTCTCTTCTGTGATCATACTTTTTTTTTTTTTGTAATTGAATGAGCACCTTATAACCCATCATTGCCACATGATTTCAGAGCATTCATTTTTGTGCTGACCGTAGTAATGATGCCGGGTCATAGTACTTAGTTATGAGCCAAGCTAGGAGGGGCAGTTAATAAAGGACCAAAGAATATAGGGTTTCCCACTCAAAGGGGTTGTCAGAACTACATTTACCTTGTGGGTGGTGCTTGGTTTCAGCAAAACGTCATGCATATAATTAAGTCAAAGCACTTCATTTGAAATTCACTTGTGTTTGTGCTGAACTTTTTGTATTGGCTTTGTAGCTGTACATAATTTTATAGCTTAGGTATCAGTCGATGGTACTTGAGCACCTTCCACTGATGGACTTCAGAACTTTCATTAGCCCATGACATGTCACTGAGATGAGTCATTCTTTGTGGCTCAGGCAGATTGATGCGGAATCCAAATCAGGGCCCTGGTGGGTTTGATATTATCTATAATAGGCCACAATGACCTGAGGTCGGATTTGCCCATGTCATTCTTCAGAATGAGTCATTCTTTGTGGCTCAGGCAGACTAAGGCAGAATATGAATCAGGCTTGGTGGGTTTGGTATTACCTGCAATAGGTCACAATTATCTAAGGAAGACTTTTGCCCGGCTCTCACCAAGAGTGTAATAGGTGATGTACGAGTAGTCCCTAGGCATTTTATCCCCAAATTATCAAAATCTACAACCACTTGTTTCTTAAATAATCATGTAAAATCAACAATGGGAGCATTCACTATAAGGAAATCAGTAGGAGAGTGTAATTCCCAATGTGTTAGCTATGTCCCTCAATTTTCACAGATGTGTATTTCCCAGTAATACTAATGTTTTTTCCTACTACATGGTAAAGAGCCAGGTGAAGAATTTGCTGTAGTTGTGGTAGGAAATTGCACATTGCCTATGGAATCCCACCCTGAATTCCAGTAAATCACATAGATTACCAGTGTGTCCACCATCGCCATCCTTCTATAGCTGCTATGCTGACTAAATATAACTCCAAGCAGCCAGTTTGGATTGGGATAAGAGCCTTTATAAATAAAAGTTCCCAAGCTCTCTAGGATGTTTTAATCAATTCTAATATTTAATCTTCTAGAAGTTCCCAGTCCTTTGGCATTTTTCATAATCTAAGAAAACATTTAATACTAGCAGCAATCACAAATCAAAGTCTAAAAAGCAATACCCTTTGCAACAGCATTAAAAAATATGAAACTTTTAGGCATAAATCTGACAAAAAATGGTCAAGACTAGCATACCAAAAACTATAAAACATTGTTGTAAAAAGCTAAAGAAGATCCACAGAAAAGGGAAACACATGTGATGTTCTTGGGTCAGAAGACTCACTATTGTTAAATACCATTTCTCTCCTCATATTGATTCTCTCCTCATTTACAGATGCAACGCTATGTCAAGGAAAATCCCAAGAGGACTTTTTATAAAAATTGGCAAGGTAATCCTAAAATTCACATGGAAATGAAAATGACCTGTACTAGCCAAAACAGCTTTGGAAAAGAACAAAGTTGGTGAGCTTAGAGGACCTGATTTCAAGACCTATTTTAAGTCTACAGTCATCAAAACAGAATGGCACTGGTTTAAAGATTAACAGTAGTATCAGTGGAGCAGAACACAGAACGCAGAAATAATTGAACTTCTGATTTGTGAAAAAAGTGCAAAGGTAATTCAGGAGCAAGAACTGCTTTGTCCACAAATAGTGTTGGAACAATTGAATATTTGTATGCAAAAAGAAAGTACTCTAACCCTTATCTGTCATCATATATAAAAATTAACTCACAATAGATCATAACCCTAAATATAAAAGCTTAAACTTCAACACTGTTAGAGGAAAACATAACAGAAAGTCTATGTCATCTTGAGCTAGTGGAAGATTTCTTAGACATGACATGAAAAGCACAATCCATAGAAGAATAAATTGGTTAACTGGACTTCATTAAAATTTAAAACATCTATGTTTTCAAAGACATGGGTAAGTGAATGAAAAGACAGAGCTAGAATAGGGGAAAAAATCCTTGCATATCATATGTATGATAATTGACTTATATCCTGAATATATGAAGAACTCTCAAAACTCAGTGAAAAAATAACCTAATTTTCTTAAAACATGCAAAAATGTTGAACAAACACTTTATGAAATAAGATACATAAAATGGCAAACAGGTACATGAAAAGATATTCAACATCATTAGGGAACTGCATATTAAAACCGCAGTGAGTTTCCACTAAGTATCATTGGAATAGCCAAAAAAAATGACCATACCAAGTGTTGGTGAGCATGTGAAGAAAACAGAACTCTTTTAACACTGCTGGTAGAGATATAAAATGGTATAACTATTTTGGAAAACTGGTTGACAATTTCTTAAAAAGTTAAACATAGGGAAGCTCTATCTTCCCTATGACCGTGCAATTGCACTACTGGGTATTTACCCCAAAGATACAGATGTAGTGAAAAGAAGGGCCATTCGTACCCCAATGTTTATAGCAGCAATGGCCATGGTCACCAAACTGTGGAAAGAACCAAGATGCCCTTCAACGGACGAATGGATAAGGAAGATGTGGTCCATATACACTATGGAGTATTATGCCTCCATCAGAAAGGATGAATACCCAACTTTTGTAGCAACATGGACGGGACTGGAAGAGATGATGCTGAGTGAAATAAGTCAAGCAGAGAGAGTCAATTATCATATGGTTTCACTTATTTGTGGAGCATAACAAATAACATGGAGGACAAGAGGAGTTAGAGAGGAGAAGGGAGTTGGGGGAAATTGGAAGGGGAGGTGAACCATGAGAGACTATGGACTCTGAAAAACAATCTGAGGGTTTTGAAGGGGCGGGGGGTGGGAGTTTGGGGGAACCAGGTGGTGGGTATTAGAGAGGGTACGGATTGCATGGAGCACTGGGTGTGGTGCAAAAACAAGGAATACTGTTATGCTGAAAATAAAAAAAAAAAATTAAAAAAAAAAGTTAAACATACATCCAGCTATTTAATATCTCCCCAAGAGAAATGAGAGCACACGTCCATCAAAAGAATTATATAGGAATGTTCACAGCAGCTCTATTTGTAGTATCCTACTGTGAAAAACCACCCAAATGTCCACCAACAGGTTACTGGGTAAAAAATGGATATCCACACAATGAAAAGCTATTCAGCAATGTAAAGCCGTGTATTAATATGCACAACAACATGGATGAATTTCAAAATTATTACACCAAGTGAAAGAAGCTAGACAAAAAAGAGACATATTGTATGATTCCATGTGTATAAAATTCTAAAAAATGCAAACTAACACATAGTAACATAACAGATCAGGGGATGACTGTGGATTAGGGGAGCATGACTGGTAGGGAGAGAGATGGCAAAGGAACATGAGAAGACTTTTGGGGTGATGGATGGGTTCATCATTTGATTGTGACAATGAACTCACAGGTATATACGCATAGGCCAAACTTACCACGTTGTATAGTTTATTATGTCAATTACATCCCAAAAGAGCCATTTTTTTGAAAAAAGTATATTTTTAGTTTACAATGTTAAATATATTTATTTTCTCTAAGTAAATAGTTTAAAGGCCTATAAAACATAGATTTTCTTTTTTTCCCACAGCTTGGCAACCTTCTCTCTTTTTTAAATTTTTTTAAATTTTATTTTAACTTTTCAGTGTTCCAAGATGCATTGTTTATGCACCACACCCAGTGCTCATGCAACACGTGCCCTCCTTAATACCCACCCCCAGGCTCACCCAACCCCACCCCTCTCCCTCTAAAACCCTCAGTTTGTTTCTCAGAGTCTACAGTCTCTCGTGGTTCATTTCCCCCTCCAATTTCCCTCAATTCACAGAAGAGCCTTTTTAAGCAAAGAGTAAACCTTTAAGTTCACTTCACAGATTGCACCTCTTAGAATTCTCCATGTGGGTCAGAATTAGCTGAGAGCCAGTCACTGACACCACTTCTCACTCTCTCCTTCTTGGAACTTTCTTTTGCAACCATTTCCTGACTTGGCATTCTCTGGGTTCCTCTCCTACCCCGCAGAGCCTTTGGTTTCCTTCCCTGCTTCTCATCCTTCCTCCCATGCCTTATGTGAGAATGTTCTTTATGGTCTGCAGCTGGTCTCTCTTTTATTCTCATGCACACTCCTTCCTGAGCAATCTCTCCACCCGCTCTGCCCTGGCCGCCATTTGTACTCTAAGAACTCCCAATCTACACTGCAAGACTTTGTTCCCTCTCCTGACCTACAGATTTCCACAGGCTTCCCCTTCCATACCTCCAATTTAATGAGTGCCTAACTGTAAATGTTCCCCCACCCAAACCTGCTGCTCAGCCTGCGTTCAGGTCTCCCATCACAGCACTACCATCTCCCCAGCCACCCACACCAGGCATAGCACAGTGGATGAGAGCACGGGCTCAGGAATACAGTCCCAGTTCTGTCACTTATTACATATGCATCTTGGGAAAGTTATTTAACCTCTCTGGGCCTCATTTCTTCATTTGTCTAATGAGTCTCTTCTTAAAAGGTTACTCTGAGGAAATAAGATATACATAGAGTATGAGATGCCTGATACATAGTAAGTGCTCAGTGATTAGTAGCATCATGGGTGGCATTTACTTCTCTAATAACTCACCAAGGACTGTTCATGTGGTTCCTGCCAGTCTCCGTCCTCCTCTTTTCCTTCCCTCTGCTGCTCCCATCTCAGATTCCTTATATCTTGATACCATGTTGAGGCAGCCTACTCTGAACTTTCTTCCATCAGTCCATTCTGTCAAGGGTTATCTAAGTGAGCCCAGGTCAGCTCATGCATTTCCATGATCAAAGACCTTCCACTGGTCCTCCTTGTCCAAACAGCATAGTTCTTAGCATTCAAGGCAGGACCTCACTTTTCCACCTTCATATCTCTGGTCTGAACCCCGTATCAGTTGGGTACTCTCATTTCTTCCCTGTCCTCCATAGACCCTGCCCTATAGTCACACGTTTGTCTAAGAAGGTCATTCCACAACTCTCCATCCCGAGGCTCAGCTCAAATGCTATCCTTTTAATGAACGTGGCCCAATTCCCTAACTGGAATTAATCAGTCTCTCTTCAGTACTTCCATTGCACTTTATATGTCAAGTTAGGAGCTTATATTATTGTCATTTATATATTTGCCTTACTCTTACCTTGGCTAGGCATTCAAGGCCTGAGTGTTGACTGGAATGAAATGGAAAGAAAGAGCATGACAAACAGTCTGCCTAACAGCTGCCTAACATCTCCCTGGTAATGTCACCTGCACATGGAGTTTCTTTGTAGACTGACACTTTACAAATTAGCATCCTGTTCAAGCTGAAAGAGCACCAAAGAGCCACCTCATTGGAAAGCACTCAAGAGAAAAGCAACAACACCACTCAAGGGTCTGTGGAGGGAGAGAAGAGAAGCAAATAAGGTACGACAGATGCTGACTTAATCTTGGCTATTCTAAATGGCTTTTTCTGCAATTAAGATGTCTCTCTTCTGAGAGGAAGCTGTTTACTATTCACTGCTGAGGAATGCCAGCCAAGCATCCCAGAGATGCTCTCCATTCTTCTTAATTTATAAATTATGGTGCCACTTTACAAGGGGACTAAGACTCTGAGTGGCCATGCAAAATCCCTGGAGAAAAAATTTAAGAGGCACTCACAAGAGCATGCACTTGATAGAATCTGCCAGCCACTCACCCAGGCAGCTGCCAAGTGGGGAAAGGGACAGGGTTAGAATATGAAAAGAGGTTATAACATCAACCCAAGAAGATGGCTGTCAATTTCCCCTCCAGATTTCCCAAATTCTCCAGGAGAGTCTTTCATTACGGAAATGATTCTTTCCATTGCTTTTAGTTTAGTAACCAGTATCTCTGAAATTTTTTTTTTTTACTAAAGCAGTCAGTGGCAACTCAACTTAGTCAATACATCAGTATCAAAATGATTTACTGCCCTTTCTTTTTCCAGAAACTCTGTAGTTACCACACAAACCACAACACTAGCATTCAGGGCCCACCTTCTACTGTTAATTGTGGACCCAGAGAAACGTGTAAGCAAAAGATAACTAAGAGTACAAACTACTAAAGCAATGAGCAAAAACTGATGCTTCAAAGAGAGAAGGAAGAGGGGCTATAGAATATCATTGCCATCACTATCAACACTGCAGCCATTACCTCTTTCAGCGTCTATTTCTACTCTCAGAAAGCAAGGGCCATGACTGGCTGTACTATTCTTCATATAGCCAGCATCTAGCCAAGGGTTTAGATTCTAGTAGAATTAAACATGTGTTGAATAAATAAATATACCATTGCACCTCTCAAAAAAGTAATTCAGAGGAGGACATACTAGGAAGAGTTTTTACATTTGGAAAGAATATTGCTCCTCCTTCCTAGATATTATTTATATCAACTACATATGAAGGAAAATTGACTTTTTCTAAACACAGGCTCATAGGTACATGAACATGGCTACTCAGTAATTTTCAATTCTGAAATTTAGAAAATGTAGGAAAAATTCTTCCCATGTCTGGGAATATATAAATATCTATAACAATGAGTTTTGCTTGGAGTCAGGTACTTTTCATTCCAGATAAACTGAATACAAAGAAATCTAGTCCTCCTGGTGTCATTCCCAGCCCTGCCAGATAAATGCTTCTCTCTGGAATGGTTTGGAGGAATCACATTACAATTCTTCTACACTTCGTAGCTGAGTTACAGAGTAACCTGCCAGCAATCCTCTCAGATTCACCAGGCTGTTGAAATAGAGCAAAGTCCACAAGATTTCCACTGAGATGTGCTGAGCCAAGGCCAGAGCCCCAGAATGAAACAAGTACAGACTCTGAGCAAAGCTCCCCTCATCCTGAGAGTGAACCCACTGGCCCCTGGGGTCCAGGTGATTGGCAATGACCCCTGTGATGTTGGCATTCATGAGGGAGCTCCCTGGGTGGTTCCTGGTCGCTGGGGTCTTCCTACCCGTGGCTCTGCTGCTGTTCCTTCTCATCGCCTACTTCAGGATCAAACTGATGGAGGGTAAGTGTGAAGCCACAGCAGGCAGTGGCTTGAAGTCCTTTCCCATGGAACACGTTCGCAAAAAGCCAATGCAAGGTCCGTGTTTCTGGCGTGGGGTCTGGGGCGATACCTGGTTGTACCTGTGGGTACTTGCCACCAAGCGCTCTCTTCGGATCTCTTCATTGGTGAACAGGCAGCGTGATCCTCTCAGCAGTGCGGATCCTGAGCGAGGCTCTGCGGATCTGCAGTAAGGACCCCTTAACTGTATAGCCCTTCCCCGACCCTGACCCGGACAGATGAACTGTGAATCAGCGATTCTGACCTATGATTGCTTCTCTCTCTCTCTGACAGGGCAATATATTCCACAAATGTTAAAACACATATCATGGTCTGCCTTCTTTCCCTGACAGACACCTCTGTGCTTGTGACGTGAGTGTGTGCACACACACTTCTCTCTCACCTATGGAACTTTGATTAAGAAAATGTGCCAAACATTGTGCTATCACAGTGTTTGGCAAATGTCAAGCCCTAACAGATAGTTGAGGGCTTTGTGTAAGCTTTTCATGAGACTATAGTCTTAAGGAAAAACAAAACAAAACAAAACAAACAAACAAACAAAAAAAAACCCCTCAGGACTTCAAAGTGATTCAGACATAGGCAGTTGGGTCCTGGACTGAGACTGTTTATCCTGCTATAATTAAATTAATGAAGCTGAACTGTGACTTCATAGACTAAATGTTAATAATGTGCCCAGAAAACATTAAATTAATATCATAGAGGTTAATATTTATTTTAGCAATAGCAACAAAAACCAGTACTATTTAAGTTGGATGGTGTCATATTAAAGCACTATAAAATTAAATTTGAGAATCATTCCTCTCCCACAAAAACTTGCCAAGTCCAGGCAATGCCTTTATGAATGCCATTCTATAAAACATTTTCAGAATCCTGAATGAAGAATGCCATCACATATGACCTAAAATCAAGTAGAAGTACAGCTGGGAATATTTTCTTTTTATTGGGGGGCAGGGGTGAAGGGAGAGGGCGACAAAATCTTAAGTAGGCTCCGCACCCAATGTAAAGCCCGACGCAGGGCTCAATCTCACAACCCTGAGATCATGACCTGAATCGAAATCAAGAGTTAGATGCTTAACTGACGGAACCATCCAGGTGCCCTGGTGATATTTCTAAGATGAGATTTAGAACATAAATTCTAGGGGCACCTGGGTGGCTCAGTGGGTTAAAGCCTCTGGCTTTGGCTCAGGTCATGATCCCAGGGTCCTGGGATCAAGCCCGGCATCGAGCTCTCTGCTCAGTGGGAAGCCTGCTTCCCTTCCTCTCTCTCTGCCTGCCTCTCTGCCTACTTGTGATCTCTGTCTGTCAAATAAGTAAATAAAAATCTTAAAAAAAAAAGAATATAAATTCTAGAGGACATTATAGAGCACATTATAGAATCACAAGTTTCCAATCATAACATACTCAAATATCCCCCAGCCTTTCATTTTTTTTGTCTCATTTTTATGAACAACCCTCTTGTTGAATGACCCAGCTGTATTCTGTCTTGCTGTGCAGCATTTCATGTGATAAATCCTTTTCTTTATTAAGTTAGTTTATCCTCCATGGCCTTAAGACCAGTCTACCAGACATTCTGCCACCTAGCCATTCATTAACACTTAGCTCTGGAAAAAAGCCTCTGAAAAAGGAAGAGAAAATTAGAAATCCCCAGGATCCTAACTATGGGATTTTAACCTTCCAAACTGGTTGAATGCCCAGCCATTGCAAAAATTTCCATTTTGAAAGTCTTTTAAAGCTGTTGCAATGGTCGTTGTCATTCACAGGCATCCCAGGCCACCAGTGACACTGAGCACCTTATGGAGCAGTGACAGGATGCTGATGTCACAGTCAGAGACCTGAATCATTCATGTCACTCCCAAGTTTCATCTCTGGCTGCCTTTTTGGGTAGATAAATGTTTAGTATCTCAAAAACAGATCAAGCCTTAAATAAGACAATCAACAGACCAAGATAGCCTCATGGATTCCAAAGTCTCTTATTGGCCTCTACTTATCATTTGCTATAGGTCAGATGGCTCAGCAAGACAAACGGTATTTGGGACAGACTCTTCTTCAAAAAAGGATGAATCTTGGTTTTACAGCCTTACTTATCCCTAGATGACTTCTGGGGGAAAACGTCTATAATCTGCAAAAATTAAAATTAAATGGGTCTATGGTATTTTGCTTATTTAGATAATGGGGATAATTACGAGGTATAGATGTCAATCATATTCCTTCAGAAGGCCCTGGAGAAGGAAGCCTGCCCTTGACAGTGTGGCCCGGCAGCAAACGGGGCTGATGCTGCACAAAATGCAGGCCATGTGTGCACACAGGGCCAGGCCCCAAGGACATGCTCAGTGTGAGCACTAGGATCATTGCCCAGTGACACCCTCATTCTTTGACACATCTCTGCCCATGTAAGTTGTCTAGAAATCAAAGCCTCCATGTTCTGCAACAACAAGGTCCCCTGGGTAGAGTCCTTTTACCAACTCTGAGGCTCCTTCCAAATGTGCACCATACTGCTGGGTAGGAAGAGTTCTCATGCATTCATTCAACACATATTTGAGAAGCTACCATATACCAGGGATTGTTCTAGATTCTGGAACAGATTCTTACTATGGGCTTTCAGAATGGAGAGAACAATCCCAGGTCCATAAAACCACAAAAGGCATCTGGTGAAACGTTTAGAATTTGGAGGAGAGACATTGCAAATCTCTCTGTTTCTTGTTCTGGCCTCCTTTACAGGTATGGTCAATGGCCTGAAGAATGACTTGTCCTTCTCCCTAAGTCTTGTCCCAGCGCTGGAGCAGAGCACTCCCACTAGAAGCAGAACCCTCCAAACAGTGAAGAGGCCCCCAGAATGATGTAATGAGCCTCCACTTTCTGTGGTTCTTCTCCATGATCCCCTTTTGTTGGCTCTCACTGAAGTGTGCCTGGAGCTTCCAGGCTACAGGTGAGGAGTACAGGAGGGGTGAGGGAGGAGATGGAAGAAGTCACCAAATCTCTCTGCATCAGTCACGTAATGTGGTAGGGGTCCCATCTGAGACTTTTTGTTGGAAGGAGTACTGTCAGTGTACTGTCAGTACACTGTTGCCAGCAGCTTGCCAAGGAACTATCTGCAGGATACCAAGAGAGCACAGTCCTGCTGACTGGCCCAAAGCAGGCTTCTCTCTTGTCAGTTTTCATTCAGTTGAGAGTGGGTCCCAAGGGTGGTGGGATGAGACTAGTAAAGGCCCTGGTCACTATTCCTTGTAGGTACCTGACCAAGATAGCAGCTGAGGGACACCCTGCATTGTGCCTCTTTCTCCAGAATTTTCTATTCCAACCGAGCTTTGCTTATCTTTCCCTCTTCCCCCCAGGGGGAACTGTGCATCCTTTTCTGGAATAATTCCTGATTACATTTTCCACTGTTAGCAGACAACCTTAGCCTAAACATATTTTCATTTTTCTGTGGGTCTGTTCCCTTTATTTCCAAATTTTCCTTTAAAAAAAACCAAAAATTTAAGAACATTTTTTAAAGGTAGCTCTTTCTATAGCTGTTTGCCTATGTGTAAATAGTAATATCTTTTCTATAGTTTGAGGGCAATTGAGATCACATGGCTCCAAATAAAATATCACCAGTTTGTATCTTTATTTAGCAGCTCTCATTTAAAAACTGTAACCAGATGGTCAAATGTCATGTCATTAATCTTCCAACCGGGGTTATGGCAAGTGTAATCATTCCTATTTTGTGCCTGTAAAAAAAGGGACATTGACAGATTAACTGGTGTGTTCACAGAACCCCAGAGTCCGACATTCTGAAACAGAAAATTAGTTTGCCTGGCCCATACATCCTAGTCCATCAGCCAAGAGAGACATTTTAAGATGTGATGGAAAGCATGTGGAGGTATTGTAATCACTCAACATTAATCCCTACACTTGAAGCCTTGGGAAGTAATGGTGCATGTAAATTTAATTAGTATGTAGACAACATCAATTTTTTCACAAAGGAAGAAAGAAAATTCTCTCGCATCCTGCACTCTTTAATCTCTGTCAATTGCCTTGAGGAGCAGCTTTTCAGGTGGAGGTCTGAATCTTGAACTTCCCATCAGTGAAACCCTTCATCCAGCACTCCCGTGGACTTTTCATACCTTCTAGAGTAGAAGTTTTGATTATCTCACCTCTTCAACTCCTGAGATTCCTATACCTCTCCTTCCGGTATTATTCTTTGCTCCCAAAATACCATCATGCTGATGAAGGACAAATTGCTCCCTAAATAACCAACACTGCCCAAATAATCATTTTTTGTTTGTTTGTTTTTGATGTCTATTGAATGCCTGAAAGTTTTAGTGTGGGGTTAGATACAACAATTTACATTCTAAAACAAACGTCTCAAGTCTGGAAAATGTGCAGGTGGCTAGACGTCTTTCACTGAACTTCATATATATGTTTTGGTAGTCTGTAGTCAAAAGGGAAAAAGATACCTATTTGGAAAAAATCAGATCAATATAAGGGTTAGTAGAGTGAAATTGTTAAGAGCTTTCAGACCACGGAATCGAACCAAATGCGGTTTGAATTCTTGATGTCACAATGGCCACCCAACCTCTTAAAGTTCAGTTTCTTCATCTCTAAAATAGAATAATAGCAGGAAATAGCTGTAAGGTTGGTGTGGGGTTAAGGAATGTGCAGGTGGTAAAAAGTGGAAACAGAGTTTTCAGTAAAGGATGTCAAAAGGTAAAAGGGAGAAGACTAATTTGGCATATCTAAAGACTAAATGTGCCCAATACATTTTGGGACAGGGTCAGAGACAGAAACTCTGTCTTACTCATTTTCACATCCCCAGCCCCCGGTCTACAGACTTGCTTTATGGATGCTTCTTGAATGAGGGAGTCCAAATACATTTAATCAGCACTTAATCTGCTAAATATTAAATACCCTTAGCACATAACAAGGATTACAGCGGTACTTTGCCCACTATAGTCGGGGCCACTCTTTCACAATAAGCATTTACATTTCTGTTGGAAGTTGCTGGGGAGGGAGGGGAGACCCTGCAACAGGCCTTGCTCTAGGGACCCGGCCTTGAGCAACTTCTAGAAACGCTGGCCAACACCCATACAGGAGTCGTCCATGATCCAGGGCAGGCATTCTGCTGCCTCCAAAGTATTAACTGATAATTTTCCTTTCAGTTAACGAAGAACTGTCACAGACCCCCCAGCGCCAGCACAAACACGAGGCTGGCTCTGACCTGTATCAGAGGAGGAAAAGAACGTGACCTGGGGACTGACCCACGGCTAAAGCACAGCAAATTTCTACTGGGCAGAGAGTAACGGTCAATGGCTTAGCTCCTAAGATAAGTTCATAAACTCAAACAGCACAAATAGAGTACTGAAAAGCTTGTTCCGAACCCCTTTGCAAAGTGGCAGCTGTTACCCTGGGGACATCTACAAGACTCCGTTAAAGAGCAGTTCGTCAGAGAGTACCAAGAATACAAGATTTTCTTGGATGTGCAGTATGGACTGGACACTTAGCATCTTTTTAACTTTTATAAGACTCTGTCTATTCTGAAGGACACTATTTTTTAAATAAAACTCAAGTATCCTTATTACATAATCCCATGGAAGCGTACATTATTCTGATTTTGTTGGTGAAGCAGCTCTGGTAGAGAGCAAACATTGGCAAAAGACGAGTACTTTGAGGCCTCTGCAGATTCCCTCTTCGAGAGTATTCCCACTCCCTCCACCTGCCGCACCACAACTCTTAAATGACATCCTTCCAGGCATCACTTCCGGCCCTGGGTTTGCTACGCTCCCTTTTCCAGCTGCCTCTACAAATCACATCACCCTTGTGATGACCCACAAAACAAGTGGAGTCTCTCCATACCAATGAAGGCAGCTTTCATCAAGAAACGTCTTGGAAATACTGGCAATTTGCTGGTGGGCAAAGGGAAGAACAGGACGGTCATGTAACTCATACGGAGAGTAGCTCAAGCATTTGCCTCTAAAACCAAAACATCAGGGAGCTATTTCTAAATAAGGAAAGAAGTCAACATTTCACTAGCAGAATTCTTTTTGCAGGGGGAGCCCCAAGGAGCCAACATAGATAACCAAAAAGAAACACTTAATTCAAAGTGGTCATTAAAATAGATTGAGTACTCTTGTGCTCTCCACAGTTTTCTAGTTAAGACAAACAAAAGATGCTTCCCGTGTCCAAAGCAGGAGTCTGATGATATTCCAGTCTTTGCGTGTGAATCTAACAGGCTATTAGCGTGATTAACTTTATAAAATGTACTGAGTTTGGTCACCTGTAAGAAATGTACCAACTTCTGTAGTGATCCATAATCTTACAAAAGATTGTGCGAATGACCAAAAGCAAGAACGCACCACTGGTGCTGGGTATTTTCTTAGCTACCTCTCTCCCCACTCCAAACTCTCCGCATGCATCCAGAGTCATTAGTCTCTATTTGCCCTTCTTGCCTCATGTAAAACTCAGTGTTTGAAGACACTCATTCTGTGTTTTATTGAATTTGATTACAGTGGAACTGTCTGCTGGGGCTTTCAGACAGAGGCAATTTAAAATAACAGTGTTCATGCCATATGGAAGGAATAATAATATTCTATCAGTTCTGGGAGGGATCTCTTTTTAGCCCCTGATGGAAATCAGCTTGTGTAAAAATGCTTTCTTTAACAGAAGGCGTGAAAGGATGCATCGCCTTCCCAGCTGGCCACAAGGGTTGGCTCCACCTTCTTCTGGAAAGACGGGAGCCTGGCTTTTGGTTCTGGTGGAGGCCAGTCCACCGTCTCTTCCTGCCCAGGGAAAATGCGTCCCAGCTACAGTGATAACAGACGAGCTCCACATACATGTGCAGTGATAAGCATAACCAAGGAGTTCAAAGCAAGATCCCTTTCTTTTGTTGCTGTTGAGAATAACTTCCAATGAAATCCTGAGCGGATTCTTAGTTTTTGTATGTAGAGAGAAACAGAAACATGTTTTCCCATGGAAAGGCCATGCTATCTGCTTGAAGGCACAGCTACTCCATCTGTCACATCCTTCCCAAAGCTCTGTCAGCTACATTTGCTCTTCAGACACTCACAGCCAAGGGGAAGATCTTCTTCCGGCTTGGATTGCTTCAGCTCCTCTGCACCACTCCTGCCACCTAGACCGGCCGCAGTCTCCTTATGCTAGCCTCTATTCTGCTCCGTCCCGTGCTCCAAAGCCCAGCGCCCCAAAAGCATGCACAACCCCACACCGTCTCACAATGGCTCATTTTACTTCTAATGTTCTAGTACTGAAAGAATTCCCAACTCTTCCCCACCATCAATATAATATTGAGACCGTTAATAAAATAATGCTGTTGTGTTGCCAAATATTCAGTGAAAATTCACCAAAGGTGGGGGGGATATATATATATATGTATATATATACATATATATATATTTTTTTTTAAGATTTATTTATTTATTTGACAGAGACAGACACAGGGAGAGAGGGAACACAAGCAAGGGGAGTGGGAAAGGGAGAAGCAAGCTCCCTGCTGAGCAGGGAGCCCGATGCGGGGCTCGATCCCAGGACTCTGGGATCATGACCTGAGCCAAAGGCAGACGCTTAACCTCTGAACGACCGAGGGCCCCCATGTGTGTGTGTGTGTGTGTGTGTATATATATATATATATATATATATATATATATATTTTTTTTTTTTTTTTTAACAGAGCTAAATACAGCGGTTAATACTAACTTCCCACCTCTCTCATCAAGTGGGAAACTGCCAAGCCTGACGGTTCCTCTACATTGCGGACCTATACAAGTTGACCAAACAAAAAATGAGACTAGGAAGGACACACAGTATGTCCCATCCAGCAATGTTATTCGGAACCCTTAAAAAGGAAACTTGTAATTAATTCGACCAGGTAATAGCCTCTAGCATTTTCTAGAATTTAATAGCAATTAGAAAATCAAGAACAAATAAATACTCCCATACACCAAAAACAATTTTCCTTGAAATCTTAAGCTTCTTGGCAATATTTTGTTTCAGAAATCAGAATTCATAACTGTTAAAGCACATTCTGGAAATTAATTTTCTAACTTGTTTAGAAACACAATTTTTAGAACAAATACTCTTTGGAGATTCTTGCTTCCTGACTTTATAATTAGTGTGCTAATCCGAAGAGACCTCTGAGTTTATCAGAATTTACACAATGATAATTACCCTGGCAAATGAGAGACAAACAACAGAACAGAAAACATGCATTCAGAATATTTTATTTATACTTACCACCAAACAGATTGGAAATTTAAAAATTCCTTCCACTGTGGTTTTTTTTTTTAATTTTGTTTTTCAGTGTTCCAAAATTCATTGTTTATGCACCACACCCAGTGCTCCATGCAATACGTGCCCTCCTTATTACCCAACACCAGGCTCACCCAACCCCCATCCCCCTCCCCTCCAAAACCCAAAACCAACATTCCCAAACCCAGATTATTAAGAGCAGAAGTTCCTAACTTTTATTTAGATAATAAAGAAACCTTTTGAGAACATGATGAAAAGCAGTAATTTATTCTTAAGAAACATGCACACAGGGGGTGCCTGGGTGGCTCAGTGGGTTAAAGCCTCTGCCTTCAGCTCAGGTCATGATCTCAGGGTCCTGGGATCGAGTTCTGCATCAGGCTCTCTGCTCAGCAGGGAGCCTGCTTCCTCCTCTCTCTCTGCGGGCTTCTCTGCCTACTTGTGATCTCTGTCAAATAAATAAAATCTTTTTAAAAAAAAAAGAAAGAAAGAAACATGTGCACACCCACAATTTTGCATATATTTGGGGACAAGTTCAGACCCTTGAAATCCATCCAAGAGTCTGTGGTTAGGAAGCCTGCAGTCAGAGTCGCCAAGTATCTGTGCTACCTCCACGGGGTAGACCATGAGTAGACCCTAGGATATCCCTGACAATGTGGGGATCTCGGGGAAGTAAGGTCCACATACTCTCAAAGCCAAAATCTTCTCAACAGACTTCCCAAGTAACCCTAGGATAGCACAGAATTCTACTAGGGAAAGCCTTCAACACAGCTCAGAATGACAATGATCTTCCACAAATTTGCCAGGGGTGGATCACCTCGTGCACAGTGGGGTTACCCCTCACAATGCTTGCCATGTTGGGAGGCTATTAATGGGCTAGGAGCTCCGCTAGGCATTGCACACATGTTTATCAGAATATCCCGGCACTGGGACGTAGAAGTACCCTCACTTTAGAGGGATTTAAGTGCCTTCATTAAAGTCACGTGGTTCAGTTTACTCTGAGTCAGGGATTCCAAGGTCCATCTGCAGGTCTCTGAGGCCTTTGTATTCGAAGCAAAGTATCACTTTATACAACCCAAGGCTGCTATAAATCTAATCTAGCACCACAGCTGTACACAGGGTCGGTGTTTTTGGCCCTGGGGCCAAAGGTCAAGAGAGCAGCATCTCGGATTTGCCAGCTGGCCGTGTTATCTTCTGGAGCAGGTGCTCCACCATGGCCTTATCCCAGCAGACACATGAATGGGTGCATGCAAGGATCCATCTGAGTCCAGGCTGGCTTCTGTAAAACTCATCAAGGTACCTTCCCTTTGGTCACTGTCTTAGCAGTAACAGTCCAGTGTCCCAGTCTCTCGTGCAAGCACGGAAAACAGGTGGAAACTGACCAGAGCACCATGCAATGAAAAATGATGTATTCTTCTCTAACAATACATGGAGGAAGGACTTAAAAAAAAAATTATGGGGCTTTAGGGTATTTTTTTTTTTAACATTTATTAGGGACTATTTTAACAGAATGATGTAATAAACCCTTATTTACCATCACCTGGCTTTACCAATTATCCACTAACGGCCAATCTTGTTTCATCTGAATCACAACTCACTCCTCCCTACCTATAATTGAATTCTCAATTATGTGTTCAGATATCAAACAACTTTGTGCATGAATAAGGGGGATACTTGTCCACGTTGGGCAGTCATTGTGGCTACAGTCCATGTCATTGCTGGAGTCTTGGTGATAGGCATTCCACGAACTGAGGGTCTATGCAATGAATAATGCAATATACAATGTATCATAAAACAGAAGCCACTCATGATGGTCAAATACCAAACATCTACCAACTCTACATATTTAAAAAATAACCTTATTTTTTATCCAGCTCTCGCCTGCGGAAAATGCCCCGATGTTTCCTGCATCCCACACAGGACTGCTTATAAAGCTTACGTAAAATGTTACCTTTAAAAACCCCCATGCAGGCAAAAGGAATTTTTACTTATCACCTGAAATTATATGGCTTTTAAGATAATTACATCCAGACGTCTCTCATCTCAGTGAACACTGTTGACCAACTTTCTTATTCTATCATTTGAGGTTCTGAAAGCTCACTTTATAGACCAGGTAATATCCTGGGAAATACTTTCTAAGAACTACAAAATATTCAGAATGGCAGTCCTGCAGCTGCAGCTACACATGACATCACTTATGTACATGGTGCCCAGCTGCTCTTTGGGTCCTAAGCCCCGATGCTCCAGGTGTCTCCAGGATCCCAAGCCCCGTCCTTGCTAGCTCAGCTGAATGAAACTGAGCCCAAATAAAACACAGCATTTCCTATTCACTGGGAGTTGCCATGGACACTTCTTATCAGGGTCATTATCACCAGAAGGATGGGCAGATCTGGTTCGCAAAGAACTCTTAGTAAGTCCAACTTCTGCTTTAAATATGAATACTATCCATTCAAGCTTTCTGACGAGAAATAGATTCGCAGAGCCACATTTAGCTCCCTAATGTCAGTCACTAAGGCTTGGCTTGCTGAGATCCGCTTCTCCAGAGAGGAGTGGTTTTTGTAATACTTCTGCAGGAAGTGAGAAAAACCTTTCACAAGGTGAGAGAGAATTCAGTGGGGAAAGATCCCAAAGAAGACAGTCATGTACGTTGGATTTAACACACTCACTTTAAATGACTCGTGAAATTCTATGTAACATTTTAAAACGGAATAGACCCTGTTGGTCATTTGCTGTGTAATGCTTTCAATGTGTAGAAGAAAATGGAGCACTTAATCCGAGGTGTCTGGGCAGAAGTTTCGTAATGAAACACCCCGACTAGACACGGACGCGGCCCCTTGGCAGAACCCATTCTGTTTCATACGCTGAGGCCCACCGTCAGTAGAGCAAAACCTGAAGCAGAGGGTGGTTCAGGTGGTGGAACGAAAATATTTTCTGAAAACGAAAACAAAACATACACAAAGAAAACAAGCGGGATTTTCCCTTGGAGAATCTGCAAGGCGGTGGTGGGCCGTGTACCCAGGCTGGAGGAGTCCAGCACTCCCAACAAGGGATGTCGGAACCTTCAGTGCTGCCTTAGCAATTTTGCATCGGTGATGCGGGCGGCAGCCGCAAATTATAAAAGATTGGAGCAGCAGGTTCTAAAAAATGCTGCATTTCACCATATAGTAAGTCTTTTGCCTGAAAAGATCAGTCCAGTTTATTTTTTAAACCTTTGCAAAAAAGAGAAGCGGCAAGTTTAGAGAATAAACAAACTTTATTTTATAACAGTATTACAGAAAGCAAAATATCATTTAATACAACTTGAAGCTGCTATAAATCTAATCTGGCATCAGAACTATACATAGGGTCAAAAGCAAAGGAAAACATGTTCAATACCGTTAATAGGCCCCATCAGGTCTCCGGTGTTGGCTGTAAGTGGTTTCGCTTCCTTACAACCACCAAAAACACCACCGCAGCCCCTACTCCACTCCCCAGTGTCCTCAAACTTTCGTGAATCATCCAACTATATCTGAAAGAGATACACCTGCTCAATAACAAAAGGTCAGTTTTACAAGTACACAAGGAGGTTTAATACAAAGCAAGTGTGCTACACAAAGGGGTCAAATAATGGAAAGTCTTGAAATTTGGACATGTTAAGAAAGAAAGCACTAAGGTTTTAAGCTGCCTGAATTTTTAGTAGAAGGGAAGAAACGGTAGTTTCTCTTTTTCCTCCCTCCGGGTTCTGGAATGCTGCCGAAGAGCATGTGTCTGAGAAGCGTTGGCACTGTGGCACGACAGGGTCTTGAAACACAGTGCGTGGTCAGTGAGCTTCTTTTTAATTGTCCAGTCGGGAGCATCTCTGACTTTCAGGGGAAAGTCAGAGGACTGGAAAGTCAAAAAGGGTTCAATATAAAAAACAGCCCCGATGAAATTCTCAAACATTAGAAAATTTTCAGGATGTAGAAATGCTTTAAATCTGTATTAATATTTTCTCATACAGTATATTTACTGCAATCTGAAAACTCCGTAAATATTTATGGTAAGGATTCAGTGGGAAGGATCTGGAAGGCAGGAAAGCCACTATGGAAATTAGTCACAGAGTTTCCTTTCCGCACAACAGCACCTGTTCAAGTGAACAGCACCTTACCAGCATGGGGCTGGCTTTGTTCACTATCATTTGATCAAAATGAGTGATAAAATGCAGGTAGTTGTACACAAAGTAAACAGGAAATAAAAACAAAACTTCCTAATTAAAAAAAAAAGAAGAAGAAGAAGAAAGAATCAAGAATATTTAGAAGTGGTTATGAAACAAAATAATGTATTAAAATGCGAGGGAACAGTATAGACCAGAGCTGTTAAGGTAAGGTTTGGTTGTTGGCATTTTAATTCTTCAGGCTTCTGGTCATTGTTACCAGTCGTAGTATAAATTCGCTGGAGTAGTGGTGTGGCATTAGGACTTGGAATGATCAAAATTCTTCAGGTTCACAAAGTTGAGTGTTGTTTAAAAAATGGAATTTCTAGGAGGAAAAAAAGAGAGAAAAGACTTAAATATTCCCAAGACAGAGGCTTGAAAAACAATGTAAGTAATGTGCCATCCAATTCCAAATCAAATGACCCACAGTTACCATTTGCCTTGTTCTACTTTTTTTTTTTAATTTTTTAAATTTATTTTCAGCGTAACAGTATTGTTTTTGCACCACACCCAGTGCTCCATGCAATCCATGCCCTCTCCAATACCCACCTGGTTCCCCCAACCTCCCACCCCCTGCCCCTTCAAAACCCTCAGATTGTTTTTCAGAGTCCATAGTCTCTCATGGTTCACCTCCCCTTCCAATTTCCCCCAACTCCCTTCTCCTCTCCATCTCCCCATGTCCTCCATGTTATTTGTTATGCTCCACAAATAAGTGAAACCATATGATAATTGACTCTCTCTGCTTGACTTATTTCACTCAGCATCATCTCTTCCAGTCCCATCCATGTTGCTACAAAAATTGGGTATTCACCCTTTCTGATGGAGGCATAATACTCCATAGTGTATATGGACCACATCTTCCTTATCCATTCGTCCGTTGAAGGGCATCTTGGTTCTTTCCAGTTTGGCGACTGTGGCCATTGTTGCTATAAACATTGGGGTACAGATGGCCCTTCTTTTCACTACATCTGTATCTTTGGGGTAAATACCCAGTAGTGCAATTGCAGGGTCATAGGGAAGCTCTATTTTTAATTTCTTGAGGAATCTCCACACTGTTCTCCAAAGTGGCTGCACCAACTTGCATTCCCACCAACAGTGTAAGAGGGTTCCCCCTTTCTCCACACCCCTCCAACACATGTTGTTTCCTGTCTTGCTAATTTTGGCCATTCTAACTGGTGTAAGGTGGTATCTCAATGTGGTTTTAATTTGAATCTCCCTGATGGCTAGTGATGATGAACATTTTTTCATGTGTCTGATAGCCATTTGTATGTCTTCATTGGAGAAGTGTCTGTTCATATCTTCTGCCCATTTTTTTTTTTTTTTACAGTGGTGTACGTCGAACATTTATTACAACTAATCAGTGATGTGATAAGACAGCGCTAACATGGCCTGAATATGTGTACTGGTCACAATCACAACAAAGCTTAATCCAGCCCAGCAGATACAAATGCAAAGTGTAAACCGTGAAGACGTGTCTACATACACAGAAGTATGTATAAAAGTTGACACTGAAACAACTGTATAGCTTTAAAAAATACAGGGCCCACTAATGTCATTTGACTTCATTCGACTCTCACTTTTACATGAAACGTGGTGTCTGCTTTTATACGATTTCTGATAACTAGGCATTGCCATGGAAGGGAAGGAAGCTGCCCTCAAGTTTCCAGCACTTGTAAGTGGAGGGAGCAAAATCAACTTGGCCATAACAAGCACCCCAGGAAGAACAAGTCATGCTTGAAACAATGACTTAAGCGACACTTATCTTACACTTATCTTACAGAAAATAACTTATCTACATATAATGTGTTCTTCTCTTCAGATACTGTTGTGAAGAATTCCGGTAAGTCAATGTTTCCGTTTTTGCTGGGGGCCTCGAAAGCTGTCTAAGTCACTAAATCGTTATGACCACGAAAAAAATCTGTCTCAGGAATTGAACGTTCCTTGGCCTTAAAAGTAACGTGTTCACTATTAAACAGTCTATCTCTGTTCCTCGACCCCGGTTTGCAATGCTGGAGAAATAATTTTTAGTGTAAAACGCATCATTTCAATTTAGTCATTTGTGTGTTCCCTTTAAGTGTGTAGTTTCCAATAAGGGTCTTTGGTATAAATTTGTTTTTTTTTCTGAAGTCTCAATATAAACAGTTAAATTTTAATTCATTTGATATGTGAGTATCGATTCCCTTTATTCTCAGATATGCTGAAATGCTACACACTAGTCTTTGGTTTCATAAAGCCAGGTTGCATATAATTTAACAGTTTCCTTTGCCAAAGACGGTAATTAATGAATGTAAAATGCCTGGTTCTGTCGTTCTCATAGATAACATGATTCGATTGGGAGAAACAGATCTATAAACTTTAAAATATCCAGAAAAGGTACCTTTCTTTTTCTGCATCGTTCTAATTTGTATTTAAGTCCCTTAAGTTATCACTTGATTAACCAAAAATTCCCTTTAAAAAAAAAATTTGTGTAGGCCTGAATGAAGCAGCTTAGCAAAACAGTAATACTGACAAGACGTCATCTTATACCATTAGCTAACATGGACATGAAGGCAGTGACCATCTACAGTGTGTGAAATGCCACAAGAAGTCATCAACAAGGTAGGAGAATTATGTCAGTCCAATTTCTTCAAGAACACTACGTGGGGTTTCAGCTTCCTCCTGCAGTAGATCAGCCTGCTCAATTGCTTTAAGGACATTTTTCTTGGATGTTTCCTGAACTTCCCCTCCCAAAAGAAACTCATCCAAAATAAAATAATTCTTCTCAAAATTAAAGATGATATCAAGTTCACACACACTGCCAAAGTACTTGTCAAGTAATTCCACGTAATGATGAATTATTTCCAGGGTAATTAGCTCATTGTCCTGATCCTCGATAGCACAGCAAAAGTACAGACTAGCATATCTTTTGTAAACAATCTTCAGATCTCGCCACTCGAGAAAGCTGCACATTTTAGGTTTCCGTGCTAAAACGGTTTGAACAAGTTCTCTTGTAATCTTTTTCTTCTCTTTGTCTGATAGTGGGACATACCATTTCTGCAGTCGAAGCTTTCCCTGACGACTAAAAAGCAACATAATCTTGCGTGGCGGCCGCGGGCCGCGGGCGCGGCTGAGCTCCGCCGGCGGCGGCGGCGGCGGCGACGGCTGAGGGGAAGCCCCTGTCGCCAGGCTGAGGAAGAGAAGCCGTGTTGCTGTGGGGAGGGGACCCAGTTAGCGGTTCTGCCCATTTTTTTATATGATTGTCTGTTTTGTGTGTGTTGAGTTTGAGATAGATTAACTTCATAAAGTCTATCTATGAAAGACCCACATAAAATATCATCCTCAATGGGAAAAAGCTTGCAGCCTTCCCGTTGAGATCAGGAACATGACAAGGATGCCCACTCTCACCACTCTTGTTCAACATAGAAGTCCTAGCAACAGCAATCAGACAACAAAGAGAAATAAAAGGTATCCAAATTGGCAATGAAGTAGTCAAACTCTCTCTCTTCGCAGATGACATGATTATTTATATGGTAAACCCAAAAGACTCCACCCCCAAACTACTAGAACTCATACAACAATTCAGCAACGTGGCAGGATACAAAGTCAATGTACAGAAATCAGTGGCTTTCTTATATACGAACAATGAAAATACAGCAAGGGAAATTAGGGAATCGATTCCATTTACTATAGCACCAAGAACCATAAGATACCTGGGAATAAACATAACCAAAGAGGTAAAGGATCTGTACTAGAGGAACTACAGAACACTCATGAAAGAAATTGAAGAAGACACAAAAAGATGGAATACCATTCCATGCTCCTGGATCAGAAGAATAAACATTGTTAAGATGTCTATACTGCCTAGAGCAATCTATACTTTTAATGCCATTCCGATCAAAATTCCACTGGTATTTTTCAAAGAGCTGGAGCAAATAATCCTAAAATCTGTATGGAATCAGAAGAGACCCCAAATCGCTAAGGAAATATTGAAAAACAAAAATAAAACTGGCGGCATCACGTTACCAGATTTCAAGCTTTACTACAAAGCTATGATCACCAAGACAGCATGGTACTGGCATAAAAACACACACACAGACCAGTGGAACAGAGTAGAGAGCCCAGATATGGACCCTCAACTCTATGGTCAAATAATCTTTGACAAAACAGGAAAAAATATACAGTGATAAAAAGTCTCTTCAATAAATGGTGCTGGGAAAACTGGACAGTTATATGTAGAAGAATGAAACTTGATCATTCTCTTACACCGTACACAAAAATAAACTCAAAATGGATGAAAGACCTCAACGCGAGACAGGAATCCATCAGAATCCTAGAGGAGAATATAGGCAGTAACCTCTTCGATATCAGCCACAGCAACTTCTTTCAAGATATGTCTCTCCAAAGGCAAAGGAAACAAAAGCGAAAATGAACTTTTGGGACTTCATCAAAATCAAAAGCTTCTGCACAGCAAAGGAAACAGTCGACAAAACAAAGAGGCAACCCACAGAATGGGAGAAGATATTTGCAAATGACAGTAAGACAAAAGGTTGATATCCAGGATCTATAAAGAACTCCTCAAACTCATTCTACTCTTCTATTTACTCTTCTAGTCAATAGCACGTTGACCAGAAGACAAACAGGAAAGTCTATGCCACCCCTGCGGGCCTTACACTACGTGGAGAACTGACAAGCACCAGAAACAAACTGGCAAACAAACAGAACACGCACACAGAGTTAATTATAAAACAAAGGTAACTCATACATCAACAGTCCAAAACAGAGAAACCCATGTAGGCTTTAACGTTAGATTCAAGGAAGGAGAAAAAAAAAGTCCATTCTGACTTCTTTGAAATGAACAGAAAAGGGGCTGCAGGTGAGGAGAAGAGAATGGGGCAAGAGGTCAGGAAGTGAGACAACGCAAGGTGTCAGTGGGGACATGCAGAGTACGGGGGGGAGGGAGCAAGAATGAGAGAGGACAGGATAGTGAGGAAATGGGCATTATTGGAGAGAAGTAATAATAGGGTGAGAAATGGAAGGTTGGGTAAAAAATATTAGGTCTACTCTTTTAATACCATACTGAGGAGTACAAACGCGATCGAACAAAAAAAAGGACTGAAGTCAGAAAGAGCATTCAGACGAAAGACCAGCTGTCAGTTTACTGCAGTGATCCCGAGGTAGAGTTCAAAAGGCAGAAGACAGGTCAGAGAGCCAGGGGTTAGCGAGTCCACGTGGCATGTGACGAGCTCAGGAGAGGAGGAAGCGGGTTTTGAGGAAGGCTTGACATGGCCTGGTTTATGTTCTGAAAACAGGGCTGCAGCTTCAGTATGATGAAGAGGCTAAGGGTGGGGAGGAGAGAGACAAGACGGCCATGTAAGATGGCTAGGTGATGAGGACTCAGACTTGAATGAAACCAGGGTAAAGGGTGGACGGGGAGGCACCCTGTAGGAGAACAATTGGAGGGTGGGGACAAGCAAGAAAGTACCAGGGAGCGTGATCAGGTTTGGAGTCTGGGACCTCAGGACAGGTGAAAAGCCCAGGTGAGGTCTTAGGACCAAGGATGTGGATTTGCAGGCTGGTGCAGAGGGCGAGTGAAACTCATAGGTGAACTAGTCTTTACAGGTGTAAGGAAAAAGGAGGGGCATGAGCCCCGGGGGGAGCCCACAATCAGAGGGAAGGAGGGAGGAGAGAAGACTAAAATGGGAGTGGACAGGGAGGCAGACAAAAAAATACAGATGGTGCATCACCCCAGAGAGAGTAAAGGGTTTTGAGAAGGTAATTTTTTACTTCTTAGTTGAAGTTTTGGCATATGGTAGGTGATGACAGAAGACAGTGGAGAGTGGTAATTAAGGTCCTTTCCAAGGGACACTGGCCCCAGAGTCAATTAGAATGTACATTCTTTTGGTTAGATAAAAAGTCTTTTCACAGAAAAACTCCCCACCACTGAGATTTAGCACAGATATTATTTTAGCCTCTTCATTATATAGGACAGATTGATTAATCAAATTCATTGTCTCTCACCTGTTTCCTGCTTTAGGCTATTTGGTTACTCATTAGGACTTCTGCTTGATTCTAGGCGGGCTGAAGGGGCAGGCACAGGGCAGGGTGGGGATCAATGGAGAAGAGATAAAGTCGTTTCTTTTTAGGTTAGTAATTATGAACAGAAACTTGGGAATGGTGATCAGGGATGGATAAAACTACTAATCAAATTGGATTTGGGAGTTAGCTGTGGCCTCAGTCACAGAACAGATCAGTCAAGATCTATTCTTGATCTTTGCGGGCTGGTTGCTGGGTTCTTGAACAGAGATGCCACTTATGCCCAGCTTCTATAATAGAAAAGGAACTTCTCAGGTTACCAGTGCCTGGAAACCCACAGAAAGAATGAGGTTAGGATCCTATTCTCCATTTCCTCTAGATTCCATGTCACATTATTTCACTGAATCTGTTTTCACCAAAAATAAAAAATTTCAATTTAGAAAAGAAAGCTAAAATTAAACTTGTTTCCAAGTCATTAGCAGACAAGTAAACAGGAATTAGGAGTGTGTAGGAACTGAATGAGAGATCTTGATTTCAAAGAGCTTCAACATTTATTGAAATATATGTGGAGAAAAAGACATAGTTACCCATGTAAACTCAAATGTCATTTACTTTCATTTATTCACAATCAAACCACTAGAAAGAAAGAAACCAATTTCCTCCTCTGGTAATAAGTATTACAAATGACAACCTTAACACACTCTTAGAATTCCAAACAGTTTTCGGAGTGAAAGAAAATTACATTTCTTGTAATTTTAATGTTAACCACATTTTTTCCCTCTCTCAAGTGCATTTTTTCCTCGTTCTTTAAGAAGCAGTAAATCAAGTGTAACTCTGAGCTAATTAGATATTCAGCATTTCAGAACATCCCAATTCCTCATGTCCTGGATGAATAGGGAATAATTCATCGTAGGAAGTTTATAATTGACCCATCCACCTCTCTTCTGCTTTTTGTACTTAAACACATATAGAAATATATTCCTGCAAGTAGTAAACATCTAGGCTTTTGAGCTGGGAAGGAGAAAAGAAAAGAACCACCAATGCCATTGGTACACACAAGCATCAGGCATTTACATTTTTTCTGTTCTGGCATGTATCTGTGAGAAAAATAAAAATCCCAAAACCTTCATATTTGTGTGTGTGTTTTTTTTTAAACAGATAATGATTTATCACCCATTCCAATCAAACTGAAAACTACGCATCGGTAGTGCAAAAAAACTTGGTTTTTTTGTTGTTGTTGTTTTTGTTTTTTTTTTTTAAAGCCTGAATTCCTCCTCATATTCACAATAGTCTGGACTTTTTTTTTTTTTTTTTGGTCAGTACAAATGGACAGGTATTATTAGGCTTTTCCTTTGGATGAATGACATCATAATGTTCACCTGGAGTTTGGATAAGATCACAGCTTTGAAGTATGTGGATTATATGTTAGGTATTAGAATTTTGGTAAAGTAAAAACAGAAGCCCAAACCACTGTTTCCATCGGTACCACCCCCCCCAACTACATACAATGTCAGTGAACATTTCTAACGCCCACAACCCCGTTCCCTAGCCTCTGTCCCCCTCTTTTGGCCAATATGGGAATAGCTCAGCATGGTGGTCTCATCCAATCCCAGCTCTCACTCTAGATCTAAATTCCTTAAGGACATGTGCCTGTTGCCCACTTTGCCCTAAGTCCTCACAGAAGGTTCTGGAACACTCTGATTTATTTTAGTGTACCTGAGGAGCAGTGGGAAATCACACTCAAGCACAGAGGTTCTATGACTTCTTTTGAAAAGCAGAGCTTCCAAGTTTCCAGAGACAGGGGGCACCCAGCATGGGGCTCAAGCTTGAGCGTGCTCTTCTCCAGAAACTGATTCAGTAAACTGCAAATGTACACTCATGAAAAAGCACTTGACCCAAGCCACCAGAAATTCCGCCTGTAAGTGGTAAAGCACTTATCCAGAGGGCAGTCTCAATAAAAATGCAAAAATACGGCTTTCATCCAAAAATAATTAAACTAATGCAAGAAACAGTGACATTTGTCTTTGGATTAAGTAAAATTCAATTCCCGTAGGGCAGCAGTATAGCCAGAGTTCTTGAAAATATGAAAATTTATGCGAGAGACAATCCAATTCTTTCCTAAAT